ACACAATCAATCAGTAGCTGAACTGGGTTCCACACAGTCACAAAAACAAAACAAAAAGAGCCACAAAAAAGAAAAATGCAAAATAAATAGCATAAACATACAGACCTCAGCATAACACTCAAAACAGAACTGTAGCACTCAAATCGGAAGCGTAAAACTCAAAACAGAGCATGTTTGGCTTCCGAAAAAAGTTTGCAAACTGGAACACTTACTTCCGGGTTTGCAGTGTTTGGGTTCCAAGTTGTTTGAGTACCAAGGCGTTTGAGAACCAAGGTACCACTGTAGTGAGGAATAGACATAGGGCCATTGCCAAAAATGCACGATACTGTAGGTAGCTTCCCTTTAACAGCTGAGTGGGGGTTGAATTCATTTGAAAATGAATGATAAGAATTAACCAATTGGAGCTTGCTTGATGAAATTTCTATTTGTTCTGAAATTAATGTCACGAGTAATGAATCCCAATGGATGAGTTTGTTATTTTGTACCAGGTGTGCCTGCCTCTCATTCATTTGGGGATAGAGGAGCCACAGAGCATATTTGGGTGGCTGTTCCTGATGGCCTTCCTTTTATTTTTCCAGAATGCGCTAGGTGTGTAGTTCTGAAGCAGGCAAGTAGGCAGAAGAGAATTTACCTAGATTATCCATTAGCCCATCTGCTAGCACTTTGACTAATTTGGTCTTTGGATTGGGGTGGTATAATGCTGCTTTTATCCCGCTTATTATTATTTTTCTGCCATTTATTTCAATAGAATTGAGCTGTACCCATTATGTACCTCCTGAAGCGAGTCTACCAGTTCTATTTGAGTTGGAAGTCTCTGGCTTACTAATTGGCTAACATACTTCTGTAGCTTGGCGTCCGGGAGCATAAGGTTAATTGGAACAATTTGGGACCAAGAATGTTTAAAGGAATAATTTCAGAAACACTCCATTAATGGATTTATGAACTAGATTAATAGGCTGGAATGTTTATTTTAATTTCATCAGGATGCCTGTAGTCTACAAATTGCACAGTGCTTTTAAATGCTCAAGAAAGGTGTACCATAAGATGAAATATTTTTGTCAGAAACAATGCAATTAATAGTTAAGTTTTATTTATTTGATTTATAACAATATGTTCTTAAAAAAACATCAGAGCATTTATATTCTTTAAAAAAACATCACAACAATCATGCATAAACTATACTATAAAAACCACATAAAAAGTTAGTCAGAAATATATTAACTGTTATGGAAAGATGTATTCTTAATTGCCTGCATAAAGCTGATGGAATAGAAAAGCAGGTGTTTGAAAGTTGAAACAGAAGGTGTCTGCTGAATCTATATTCCACTGATGACACTAAAGTCTTGGCTTCTTGCTGTTGCGTGGCAAATTCCCGCCCCCCCCAGTGGAAATAAAGGCACATGACACAATTATTAAGGTTAATGGGCTAAATAAGGCACAACTTTATTGGTTACAGGTGGGGCTTAGGTATTGGTCCTAACTGACTATATCCAACTCCAGCCCGTCTTGGAAGGGTTAACCACCTAGTAGGGGGAGCCCTGCTGATGCACATCAACTAGGAACTCCCCCGGGGTCACTGCTCGGGGGTGTGCCTTAGGCCCTCACCTCCATAGGCTTCAGACAGGGCCACGCCCCCCGGAATCCTTTATTGGACTACCCTTCAATATGCGGGGCAGGTGATGGAGCTTCCTTCCCTCTTTCAACTACAAAACAATACCAATGCCTAACCGCCAATACCAAGAAAGTTCTGACGATTTGCTACGAGGTAGGCAAAAACCAAGTGGCTGGTGCCAATTTGCCAAGTGAAAAAATTTCTACCAGGCCCCTCAACAGCGACCAACCAAGGTACATAGCAAGGTCAAGGAATGGAAACCTTATAGGGTGGGAAAATCAGGAACAGCTGGCAGGCGGGGAAAGAGGGAGATCCCCGGCCGCATCCTGCATTAAATAGGGCAGGCCACGCCCCCAGAGCTAGGCTCCAACTCCCATCAGCCCCAGCCATCATGGCCAATGATAATGATTCCTGCATGCTGAATCTTGGACCATGCATTGCCCTTTGAGGAGGGGGCCTTTATCCAGTAGAGATTCCTATTGGTGGAGAAGAGGGGGAGACATTTGCCACCAATCATCTTTCCCCTGCAGTGCCCAGTGGTACTTTCAGTGCTCTCTTCCACCTTTCTAGAACAGATTTTCAATCATGGCTGGCTTCAAGGGAAGGGCGAACTGGCAAAAATGGCCTGCCCCACTTCTGCTGGTGGGCATGTTTCATGAGCAAAACGCAACTCACAAAACATTACTGTTTTAAGTACTGTTTGGGCTGTAAGTGTGGATGGCCAAGGAGACTAATGGGTGGAATCACAGCTGCCGAGTGTGCAGAGCTCTCAGGGCTCCAGCCCACACAACATACCCCATTAAGAGGCAGGGCACCCACAATTTTTTTGCGGTGGGGCCACGCACACTGCGGGGGCATGTGTGCTTGACATCAGCATGACCAGCAGGGAGAACATATGCTCCCGCTGGGTGTGTCCCCAAGGGAGCCCGCTCCGCCCAGCTGAGGAGAGGGGCAGCTAAATCAAGAGGGCCCTGGAGTGGTTACGCGCACTGCCACTACCCCCCCCCAACCACATGCCTCCTTACTTTCTGGAGGCCTGTTGCAGCTTCCAGAAGGTCCTTCGGGGCCCACTGTGGCTGCAGGAAGGCATGATGATGCCCATTGCGGCCTGCCTCCAGCTATGACTGGCCCCGTCAGGCCTTCTGCAGACCACAATGGGCCTTGGCATGCATTCCCATGGCCACAATGGGCCCCGTTGGGTTTTCCAGAGACTGCAACAAGCCCCATTAGGCTTTCTGGAGGCCTCCTCCTACCATGTGCCATGTGCGCAGTGGAGGAGTGGTGGTGGTGGGCAGCTGCGATGGCACCTTGGAGATCACACAGCCGGGGGTGGTGCGCTCCCCCTGCACGCCTCTTCCTCCGCCAGTTCACGTGCATGACATCACAGATCTGTGCCAAGCACACAATGTGGAGCAGGACCCGGAGCCCATGTGTGGAATGGCTTTGTAGATGGCAGAGAAGGTTTTCTGCCTCTAGTAGCTGAAAAATAAGAGATGCCTATAGGAAGTCCCAAAGCACGGCATGAGGACGACAGTTCTTGTCGTTGATTGCCAGCAACTGGTATTCAGAGGCACCATCTCTTTGATCCTGGAGGTAACCTTGTATTCTATTATTTTGAGAGAAGGAGAAAAGCTCTTGAATCAGCCTAGCTAACAGGACCAGTGGTCAGGGATGATGGGAATTGTAGTCCCAAAACATCTGAAGGGCCGAGTTCGCCTATGCCTGGCCTAGCTAGTAGTAGACTGAATGACTGAAGGTTTCAAAAACAAATATGGAGTTGCAGAATGATTGTTTCTCTCTATACACATAGAGAGCAAAATTTCAGGAAAAAACGCCAGAAGAAATGAGGGCTAAAATACAACCCTGCTGAACTATTTGGAGGATGCTAACCCAACTCAAGACATTTCAGAATTGTGCATGATCCTGTGGGGGAGACAGCATGGACACCTGTGAAGGAAGGGTGGACTCTTTCCATTTCTTTTATCGGGGACATATATTAGCAGTGTCTGCCCTTCCACAATTACCATACTTATCAGCTAAATCTTATTTTCCATGAATCTTCACAATGGACTAAGAACTGATTTCCCATACCCTGTGTCTGCCTAGCTATTGGCCAAGCTGCTGTAATGTCATGGAATATTCACAAACATTATGATGACTCAGTGGAAATCCTCTGAGGGAAGCAGAGAGGGGTAGGTCTATGGGACTCTTAAAAACAACAACACACATTCAAAATACAGGGACCGGAAGGGATGTATGCTGTTTATGTGAGAGAAGGTTGACTGAGTCTCATTACAGCTGTCTTGCGATAACAGAAGTAGGGGAAAAAACCATGAATTCTAGCATGACCTAGAAGTGCAATGTCTTTAAATATCCCATTCCACAAGCCAATTAAAGAAAAATTGCTTACTTCTAAGGAGTCCAGCTTAACTAGCACACTAATTTTAACGAAACCATTTGTGTTTCCTGTGTGCTCTAGTTTTATATCTATTTCCTCTTATTCTGAATTGCCTTGCTGTTGCTTATCTTTAATCTCCTCTTGCAGCTGTTTGTCATGTAGCTTTCCCTTCCAGGTGTCTCTCTGGGCTATCTGGGAAGACAACGGAAGTGTCTTCATCAAATTCTGTTTCACTTACATTTTCATTCCAGACTCAACTGTAGATATGGGAGGCAACCGGGGGCGGGGGGGGGGGAGCCACAAAGAGTTGTGAATCTGCAGCATCCCGTGATGTGGATGAGAGTTCATGGGAAAGAAAAGGGTTCAGAAAAGAAAAAGCAAATCAAGATATGAGGGCAGAATGCCCATTATTATTGCTTACATTGATAGCCAATTAGGGAACTTTAGTGAAGAAATAAATTTCATACATCTCCAGATGACTTTAAGCAGCACATAACCCAACTAGCATGCAGTCGTAAAGATTAAATAGTAGGAGAAACTAGCCATTATATTTTTAGTCTATTCTTCGCACAGGCACTGCTGGCAAGTCTGTGCTTCTGCACAATGTGTGACTGTTACTTTGAGTATGATTGATCTCCTCAGTCCTCTCAACTCCCTCCAGAGCCTCTAGAAAAAGTTAGCAAAAATCTGTACCAAGCAGGCAGGATTAGAGCTGGTCTGCATGAAAGCCAAGTGGTGGTATTTCAAGGCAGTGAATCTATTTAAATGCACAATAAAACACAAAAAAAATCCAAAACGGCCACATATAAATATGCTGCTGTTAATTTCTAAATCCTGCCGAACAGAAAAACAGTATTTCCATTTTTGTGCTCTCCCCTCACCCCGTTGCACATCAGAGGGAGGTAAAAAGTGAATTAACCGTATCATAGGCACATGGTACTTCCCTGCTCAGATTACACCACAAAATCTAGGCAGTTCCTTTGGAATGGATGTGAGTTGAAAGCAGCACTTGGAAACAGAGGACCAGTAATATGACTGGAGACAAAAGGTTATAAGAAACTGTAACTATAGTCACAGGTCTGTAAATCTACCCACATGTGCATTGTAATAGTTAACTAAATGCATCTCTTAGGTTTATTATTGCATAAGAATTTTAAAAATCTTTGGGTTTAGCTTTGGTTTTGCTACATATTGTGATTTGCTAGTTCTAAAAGTATATATTGCTGTCCTCTTCATTCCTAGGCTTTGTTCTTAAGATTTACCTTTCAGCATTTAAAGTTATTGTTACGTTTGTTCTGTCTGACAAGGTTTGAAAACTTTTAGCAGATGTAAAATGATTTAGTGGGTATTTTTAGCTATTGACTGTAAAAACTATGGTGAAGGTTGCATACAGAGTTTTTGCATTCTACTTTTCTGCAAGGTATCTCAGATGCAGAAAGAAGTATTTGTATTATTAATTACATTTTAAATTGGTTTATGCATTCTTTTTAATGAGAAGCAATTGCTTTAGTTGCTATGTCTGGGCTTTGGGCTGAATTAAGCAATGTCTTTTAAACTTTACATTCTTAGAGAAAGTTAAGTTTGCTTTTGTTGGTACAAATCAAGGAGGAGTTGTGATTCAGTGTGACAGATTGAATGTGAGCCATATGAGACTGACAGGGTCAGGCCCTTATAAAAGCTGATTGCGTGTGTTACAAAATATCAGAGAATAATTTAGATTCTGACAGTGTCGAGTGCTTCATGAGCTTTTTTCCTTTCCTCATTCCATTGGCTTGTGTGATGAAAAATGCTTTGGAGCAGTCATTTCTTTGCAGAATTTCTTGTGATGTGAATTCTTAAGGAATCACAACAGCTACAAAGAGTGCAGAGTAAGCAAGGGGTAGTATATTCAGTTGATGGTCATAGCTGAATCACTTCAGATCAATCAAAATTAGCTATGTTTAGGTTTTTTTTTCCTGCATTTGGAAACATGCTATGAGACACAGCATACTCCAAGCACCAGTCTTCTCTTAATAAGGATTACATTTTCACTGTGGCATGTGATGAAATGTAACTCGCACGACTCTCATTAACACTGCTTACAGAACTTGCATGTTCACTCTGATGAACAGTTGTCCCTAAGAAGACCATAACAATGAATCAATTTGCTGCCTCCCTTTTGCTTTTAGCAAATAGAGTGTATGTGTATTTGCAATCTTTTGATGAATAGATTCTCTTCCAATCTGATATTTCTTTTTTAGAATGGAGTAATTGTCTTCATTATGTAGAAGACAAATGAAAGACATAATTGTTTTGCAAGTCCTGTTGCTGGTTAATCATGAGGTCTCTTGATACAATGTGTATGAGCACATTTTTTTTCCTTTTAAACTTCACCTAATTCTCCAGGAGCTGAGACAATGTTAGAGCAGATTGTGAATGGAGGATAGTGTGTGTGTGTGTGTGTGTGTGTGTCTACACTAGTGAGAAGCAGAAAAAGGAGCATTTTTGTGCATTCACACGTGTTTCTTGCATATAATATAACAGATGCATCAGAATATAAGAGAATTAATCATCTATATTATAAGGCATTAAAGAGTTTTATAGGGGAAGTGAAGCTTTTGTCAGCAATTGCCTGAGCTGTCCTTGTGTTAACTGTGTGTTGGGCAGACAGCAGCTGCCCTAATCCTAGAGAAGGGCAAAGGAAATCAGGGTCTGGGGAAAGGGGGTTTCAAAGGAGACCCTAAGAAAGAAGGAGGTAGTGGGTTCATAAAGCAGCATATCCAGGATGGAGTTGAATAAGATAGTTGGAATGCTAAGAAACATAAAAGAATGAGAAAAAATAAGGTCAGAGCTAGAATAATCAGGTGGGAGAAAATCTGTAAGAGAGAATGGACACTGAAGATAGGACCATGCAGCCAATTCATGAGAAAAGGTGAGACAGGCCAAAGTTCACATACTGATCTGAAATAGGTGTCCAGCTCTTTGACTCCAGTATTTAACCAAAGTTCTAAACCAGGCTTCCTCAACCTCGGCCCTCCAGATGTTTTTGGCCTAAAACTCCCATGATCCCAAGTTACCAGGACCAGTGGTCAGGAATGATGGGAAATGTAGTCTCAAAACATCTGGAGGGTCAAGGTTGAGGAAGCCTGATCTAAACTGTAGTGTTACATACTAATAAATCTCTACCTACAATATACTATCATAATGCATAACAGATTGAGGGTCAGCTAGAGAACTGGCCAATCTGTATCTCCATTGAAGTCACAGTAGCAATCCCTGTGCACCTTAAGCAGTACAGTATATGAATTCTTAACCAAGAGACAAAAAGACAACTCCTGATATTGGTTTATTATGAAGGATGTACTAGCAGAAGTCATCCGATTCATTCTTACCTCATCTTTGTAAGAAGTTGTCCAAATTCTGTTCTTAATTTATGGAATGGTAAATAGTTCCTGGTCCTATTGTGCCCATCTAGAAAGAACAGATGGTAGTTTAAACAAGTTCTGCTATGGGATAAAATGTTCCAAGTCTTTAACAGATCGTATCCATCTGTATGGAAGAAACAGGGTTTGTGTAAAGTAAACAAGATAAATTCAAAGAATTTAAATTCTGTCTTGAAGAAGGGCTGTTTGTGGTTCTGTACCTCAAACATTACCCAGTCCAAAGGCATAATGTACACTTAAATGTGCTATTTTTGTCAGATAGGCACAAACAGCAAGGTGCAAAACACCAAGAACCCATAGAACAGTGGAGAACAGTGATCACTGCCCAGGATAATAAGCTCAGAAACTAATGATCTATTACAAGCAGCCAAAATAACAGATGTTCTTTATTTATAGAAATACATCTGTATATGAGGCTAATTGTTGCATTTGTTGACCCAACTGGCTAGAGTTTAGCCCTAGCTGGCCCAATATATATCAGCTGAGTTAAAAATATACAAAAATAGAAGAAGTGCCCTACTAGATTGGACCAAAGACCTAGGAGGTTGGTTTGTTCAAAGATAGGAATAAGGGCCACCTGTTTACTCTCTTGTGTAGAAGCTGACCTCCAGAAGTTACTGAACTAAAGCTCCCATTTTCCCTCAACACTGGCCAGGCTGGCTGGGCTGATGGAGGATGGAGTCCAATCACATTGGGAGAGCATCATATTGACTACTGCTGCCTGGTGGGTGCTCATAAACTGGGGTCTTACTGGGTGCTGACATTTCCTCAACATCTAGTTAGCAGCTTGTCAGTAGGTCTATCCCAATTTGGTCTTCGGCTTTTTGTACATTTGTGTTCCAGAAATGCTACACTGGGCAAGAATGGTATTGCAGCTAAGGGTTTAAAATATGTAATATTTAACATTTTATAGGCAAGCATGACCCCCCCGGGTCTGCGTACCCCAGGCTATGCATGGACCCCATCAAACAATTTATATATTTATGTAATATGTGAAAGTGTCCACTTAGGCCTTCCACTTCCACTAAAGAGCTACATCAGGTCCTCAGAGGGCTTGTGCTACCATTAGCTAGAGTGCTTTGAGGTGTTGTGGAAGGGCAGCAAACTCTGAGTTATATATATTGGGGCCCGCCCTGGGCTTCCTCTTCCCCTGTCAGTGATCACTGTCTATACTGTGATTCTAATAAATCAAAATGTAATCTAGAACAAATGTCCGATTCTTATCACTGGGGAAGAAGATGTGTTGCAGACATATATAGAGCATTAATTTTATTGATAACATATGGTGCTTTCTATCAGATTGAAACTGCGTCTTCTTGAAGGCCTTTCTTTTCATGTCAGTTGTTTCTTCATGCTTCCTTCTGTTGCATTAATTTTTACTGGCTCTGTTATCTGTTGTCTACGGACTGTGGGCAACGTGAGTGGATTGCTTGAGCATTAGCTCATTTTCTTGCTTCCTTGTAATAATGAGTTATATTCCCTTGCTTAATCCCGCTTGCGTTTATAATTTTCATTTACTGGAAAACGAATAAGAAGTTGCTTGTTTTCAAAGGAATGAAGAATTGACAAAAGTAGAACGTTTCACGCAGTGGCTACCATGCTCAGATGACTTGCCTTCACCCATTTATGCCAAGCGGTAGGAATATTGTATCATACATTTGGGCTTGTACTTGTCTAGGAGACTTTAACTAAATAGGACAGTAAAATGCATGTGTGGAGGTTGCTCCAGAGACCAACTTGCTTGCATGCCTCATAGCTTTCCTGGCAGCTGTGTAGTAAAGGGCCTCGGAATGGCCAATAACTGCATCTCCCTTCTATCCTGAATGGATGCTAGCAGTCAGACTTGGAAAACCTTACTGGCCCATGACAGATTTTACACAGGAGTTTCTCTTCTAGTTTCTCTCCCAGGAGTTTCTCTCTCTTGTCAATCTCTGTCCCTTAACCACACCCAAACCCTATGATATTAATGGGTCAGCCTAACCACAGTTGACTGAGGCATGTGAGGCTCATCTCGGCCAGCTGACCTCTGGTTGAATGTTACTGCTGTGGATTTGCTCTGTAGGCCTGTCACTTAGGACCAACCTTGAGTTTAAGCTTTGACAAAATGACATGAAGGTTCCTTGGTGATGAGTTAAAATCTGTTGGAGCAAACTGTTGTTGGAAGATGGCTTTTTGATGCACAGTTCTCTGTGGACTGTTCGGTTCTGTAAAGTCAACAAGGGTCAAGCTAGATGAGGACTTAGGCACAATGGTCCTGCCCCAGAAAAGCAAAAACTGTCAGATAAAGATTCAGGTAGGTAGCCATGTTGGTCTGATGCAGTCGAAATCAATTAAAAAAATTAAAAAATTGTCCAGTAGCACCTTAGAGACCAACTAAGATTGTTCTGGGTATAAGCTTGAAGAAGTGTGCATGCACATGAAAGCTTATATCCAGAACAAACTTAGTTGGTCTCTAAGGTGCTACTGGACAATTTTAGTAGGGTAAGGAAGGCATCTAAGAGAATATTCCTGGCTATAAGGGCATACAAGATAGTGCAAGATTCCTAAAACAGCCAGTTTCATCTTAAAAAAGGTTTTGTGATATTAGGGGGTGCTTGGGACCACTTTTCTGGCTCCAGGAGAAGAAATAAGGATAAATATAGAAGGTAAAGCTTT